CCTTTTTTTTTTTTTTCCAGGGCTTTGGTCACCTGGTTCCTTCCTCCGAGGATCGAGGTCTGCTCGGGGTCGTTTACGACTCTGTCCCCTTCCCCGAACACAACAGACCTGAAGGACACACAACCAGACTCACGGTACACACACACACACACGCACACACACACACACACACACACACACACACACACACACACACACACACACACACACACACACACACACACACACACACACACACACACACACACACACACACACACACACACACACACACACACACAGTAAGTGTTACAGTAAAGTGACCTCTTACTCTTACCTGACGTCCCTGTCCTCCAGGTGATGATGGGCGGAGCCTGGTTCCAGGAAGTGTTTGGGGACCCTGAGTCAGTAACCGAGGACGATCTTTTGGCGAGGGCGACTGAGGGCGTACAGAAACACCTGGGAGTGACCTCGGCGCCGAGCTGGAGCCGGGTGGTCTTACAGAGGGTACGACAGGAAGTGCAACACACTCTACCCGCCCTGAAAAGACTCTGCATGTTTCTTAAAGCGCCTCCAGCAGACGTTAGTGATGTAACGTTTGTTGTTTGTGTCTCATCAGGACTGTATCCCTCAGTACTACCTGGGACACTTTCAGAGAGTGGGTGAGTATCGACATTTACAGCAGGAAGTGAAATGTTCACCAGGTGTTCACCAGGTGAAGCATTTCACAACTTTTACTGTCCACATTTTTCTGAAACATTTTGTCACCATCAGGAATATAATTTTCCTTAAACACAAAGACAACAATGACGAGTTGTCTTTGTGCTTTTTTCCATCAAATTTGTTGTTACAATGTTTTTGAAATTCTTCACATTCTGTTTTTATTAATATCTGACACAGTGTCCAGACTTTTTAGAAATGTGGTCGTACTGCAGGAACTCTTAAGTCCTGATTTCCTCCTGTGACTGACATCACATCCTGCACTGTTAATCATCCTTTTCAAAATGTGTCTGTCTCTCCAGAGTCCATACGCAGCTTCATAAAGAAGAACAACCTGCCGCTGTCTCTGATTGGCTCCTCCTACGACGGCGTGTCAGTGAATGACGTCATCTTTGGTGGACGGAACGCCGCCGAGGAGCTGCTGGGAAGTGTAGTTTGATTCATCTGATGAATGCTGGATCGTCACGGCACCAGCTGTTTGTTTACAAAGAAATTCACTAAAGCATTTAAAAACAGATTCATGACCTCCGTCGTGTCAGACTGCAGCGTGAAGAGCCGACCGCTTCTTTGATTCATGATCCGCAGTCACTAACTTCAGATCTGCTTCATCAGCTGTGAATGTAAAGACAATGGAGCTGCAGTGTTCAGTCCCTTTGTCTTCAGTGTCGCTGTGTAAAATTAATATTGTTTTATAAAGAGTAATTTAAGTAAAAAAAACTGTTTCAAACAGAGTTGTCTAACTTTTTGGAGATTTCCATGATACATTTTGGGTCAAATGTGCAAAATACTAAATGATAAAGGTATCTTACTATCTGATCATTAAGGAAACATGCTATGTTGAAGTGCTGGCTTCTCTGACGACAATGCAGCAGCCAGTCCTCCTTCTAACTTTAGATTCTGCTCCTGAATGCTCTGGATTTGTTTGGACCAGAGGAGGTAGATGGTTTTAAGAACACCCCCACACGGCCGTTTTGGACGCCCCTCGGTTTGTCAGATATGAGAGCAGTTATCAGGTCAAACCAACAAGAGAAGTGGTTCAGATAGAAGTGATTGTACCCGACCTAAAAAGCCTCTGCATGTTTCTAATAAGCTCCACGAGCAGAAACGTGCTCAAACTAGGATCAATATTGGAGATGCTTTTGAAAAATGGAGAGAGGTTAGAACACAGAAAGGTTTACAGACCCATGCAGAGCTGGATAAACACTGAAGCTTCAGAGTCCACCACATGGTGACCTGAGTGAGCATCCACTCTAGAGAGGAGGGGAGAGAAAAGCTCTCTGCAATGTTTAGAATTTGGACTGCAGTACCCATTTTAAACACTAGGTGTCAGAGTTACATAATGTCCAGCAGGGGGCGACAAAGCAGTCTGGTTGAATAGAAGTTTATAAAATGGTTCTACCTCAGTTAAACGTTTTCTTTAGAGTTCATGATCTCAATCTGTAGTTTCAGCATGATGTTCATTTTATAAAGCATGGTCCCGTTTAGAGCTAGGGGAGGGTTTAGGGCGGGGCTACATGGGATTGACAGGTCACTACCATGGCAACATGAGAAATGTCTTGATTAGCGATAGATCGTACTTAAAGACACTCTGAGGAGTCAGCTGTGTTTATTCATTAAGAATGCCCTCGTTAGTAAAGGAAGCACCTCGCTAGCTGGTGTTTCCTAACTCCTTTCTCCTCCAAACAATCGCTCCCAGCCAAGACCAAAAGTCAGAACTCAAAGCTTCAGTAAAGTCTACAGACCCCGGGGTGGCGTCACCACAGCTATGTAAACACAGAAAGTAAAATGATCAGTCTTCATATCAACGACTTAGAAATGATGAATTTATTGAATGAAGAAATATTTCAACTCTATACAACTCCAGAACGTCTCCTGATTGGACAGATTAAAATAACAGTCCTGCTCTCCTGCAGTGCTGCAGTCTGTCCACTGGGGGGCAATACACACATACACACTCATAGACACACACACACTATCTGAGGCCCAGCTTCTTCTTCTCTTTCTGTTTCTTGCGGACCACCTCCATGTTTCGGTCCTTCCACATGCTCTTCCTCAGCTTGATGGGTCGACTGCCGACGTATTTCCCTGAAAACAAACGAGAGACGCCGAGTTATTTATCAGAGTGGAGGTCGTATAAACGAAGAGTGTTTGCATCGTCATCATCAGACTCACCGTTCATCTCCCTCATGGCTCGGACGTAATCGTTTGGATCCTTGAAGCTGACGAAGCCGTAACCTTTTGTCTTTCCTGTTCGTTTGTCTCTCACCACCTGACAGTGACAACAACAAACAACAACAATCAAACAACAACAATCAAACAACAACGACAACTTTGATTATTGTCTCAAACTATAATAACAAACTTTATTTGTATTGCAGCTCAAAGTGCTTTACAGCAGAAAAGGACAAAATGAGCAACACATAATAAAATAGCATGAAATAATAATGAAATTACATTAAAAAGGCATAAAAGTCAAACTCCCTTCTGACGTCGCCACCTCGAGCCTGACCTCACTAAAAACTCTAAAGGTGCAGAAGTAAGTTGTAATATGTAGTGAGTTAGCCTCCCTGATATCTAAAGGTACGATTTTCTTTTGGCTGCTGCTGGGAACCTTCAGTCGGCCAGTAGAGGATGATCGGAGTGTCCTTGAGGACACATAGTGGACAAGAGATGTTGGTCATGTAGCTCGGTCCTGTTCCATTTAGAGCTTTGTATACAAGGAGGAGGAGCTGAAAATCTATTCTAAAAGTTAGCAGAAGCAGGTGCAGAGCGGGTGCAGACTCTGGACTAATGTGCTCTCTCCTTTTTGGTTCTCGTTCAAATCCTAGCTGCAGAGTTTTGACTGAGCTGAAGCTTCTCTGTGGTTCTGTTGGGGAGGCCAGTAACAAGTGTTATCAAGTAATCAAGTCTGCTTAAGGAGCAAAATGTTAAACATTAAAATACAATTTATTTCATTATTATTATTATATAATTATTATTAATTATTTTGTATTATTAATTATTACATTTATGTATTAAAATATATTTTTTAATTTAATCTATTAATTTATTATTAATAATAATAATAATAATAATAATAGTTATTATTTTATTTATTAAAATACACAGCTCCAGATGCAGCAGCTGTTGAGGACTGGCTCTTTGATTAACAAGTTTAATATTTACATAACGTTTGATTTTTGGTTAAAAGTCTTTTGTTGAACATCGCTGAGCTTCTCTTTAGTTGTTTGTGTTTCCTAAAAGTTGTTTTTAGTTGTAAAGTTTTCTGATTTTGTAAATAAATAATTGTTTAAAATATGCTTATTCTTAGTCCCTTGTTCTTTTCCCCAGTTGTCATTATTTAAAGAGAGTCACCAAACATAAAAGAAGAAAGAAAAGCTCAAACCTTCGCTTTGAGGAAAGACGGATATCTGCTGAAGGCTCGAGCCAGAATGTCGTCGTTCACCTCGTTACCAAGATCGCCGCAGAAAATACGGAAATCATCTGAGACACGGAGAGACAAAACATGTTAGTTACTTTCTCACCACGTGAACGTTTTATCTCCATCCTGCAGCTGGAAGTATCAACACAGTCACATCCAATTCATAGGAACATTTAAAGATGCTCATCTCATGACTTCAACATGATCATGACACCAACATGTTAAACTTCAATACGATTCCTGTTTGGAAACCACGGCAACAAAACTAGAAGTCCTAGGCAGCCAACATTAGATGATTTCTTGTTTTAATAACCAAAACATCTGAAGGCAAACTCCTGCACTCTGTCTCAATCTCACAGATACGTCGGCAACCTTTGGGTTTATTTATTTACCTGTTTCCCACTCCAGCAGACTGGCGTCCTCCCAGCTCGTTCCTGCTGCGGTCCGGATGCACTTCTTCACCTTCTCCCCCTTTCCTTTCTTCTTGTCCTCTGTGGCGCTCTCTACAGGCTGAAGCACGAACACACAACATGTGAGGTTTGAACACGTTGAAGGAAAAAGGAAATGATTTATCCTTTTGTGTTAAGGCAGAAAAACAGATGGAGAAAAGATTGCTTCTGTTAAGTACCTCAGGCTGGGGGGGTTCAGGCTCGGGCATGCTGGGTCCGATGACGTTGCCGCTGTCCTCGCTCTCCTTCTTGTCCAGCAGACCTGCAGCGATCACTGCAGCCTGCTGCTCTGCGACGCGCGCCGCCAGCTCCTCCTGAAACGTTCACATGAGAGACGCTGAGACCGGCTCACTGCCTGATGGAAAAGCAGCAACACTATAAATGACCCCAAGCAGCTCTGTCTTTTACAGTGATGCCGGCCAAGTTACAACATCTTAAGTCGAGTCAGAATGCAAACTTCCTGCCGTCTGTAGAAAACACTCATGGAAGACAAAAGGCAAACTGCAGATACCATTCTGGCCTGTCTCTGAGCTCGGACGTCGATCCGTTTGTGACCTGCAGGAGTAGGAGGGGCAGAGTACACGGTCGGAGCAGCCTGGATGATCGACGGCGTGGGTTTGATGGGAGGCGGGGGTCCTTGCCTCATGGGAGGGCCCGACACCATCGGGACCATTTCCCTGACCTGAGACAGACACATCGATACACACCAGGGGGGGTCAGACAGTAACAGATGAGACGGGAAAAGTTTACCCGTTTAACCCGTTAGCTGAGACTGTTGTCACGGCGACACAGACCTGAGGGGCAGGCGCAGGAGGGGCCATGTGCTGGATGGGCTGAGGAGCTCCTGGAGGTGTCTGAAGCTGCAGGTTGGGAGGGAGCATCATGGGAGGAGGCGGAGGGGGCCGGGGGAGGGGAGGGGCCATGGTAGGACGCATCATGGGCATCCTCGGACCGCCTGACGACACAGAAACACACAAACAAGTTTTTACTTTCTAAATGTTTCTGAAAATATCGACTTCTGTCAAAGGAATAAACCAGTCAAATAAAAGTGTGAAGATGATCTCACCAGGTCTCTGCAGGATGTGGGGCACAAAGGCCGGTCTCAGCATGGGAGGACGGACTGGAGGGACTGAGACAAACACACAACAGAGTGTGACTTCACAAAGCACTAACTTTAAATGAACGATTAGAACACATTATTAGGAGTTATTATCAGGAGGTCACAGTTCAGTACTAATTCATTACAGCAGAAAAAAACAACAAAAAGTCCTGAAGGCCTAATTCTGTGTTCCCCTGATTTATTTTTGAACTGGCAGTGTCATTTAGAAGTACCTGTAACCGTGAGTACCGGCTGTAGTGTATTAAACAAAACAAAATAAAGAAAGAAGAAAACACAGAAAAGAAAAACATCTCCTGATTTGCAAATATAAAATAAATACATTTTAAAATAAGACTAATTCATTAAAGAGCGATGTTTCACATTCATGACGACCCTGTGAGCACCTCGTGTAAGTGCATGATGATCACTCCGAGTGTGACAGGAGGTTCATCTATCTGTTGTTAGTGAAACAGCAGTCACAGCTCGTCCCCACACAGCTCATGGAACTACACTGTGCCAGACCCCCCCGGCCTGTTCGATGGCCACGTCTGGCCCATGTATTTGAAACACAAGAACATCAGGTGAGTCGTCTAGCTCCGCCCTCATCTTGCTGCATGCCTCTTCTTCTTCTACATCTAATTTTACTTCTGTGTTTTTTTTTATCTAATAGAAGTTATTACCGCCACCTGGAGTGGGGTGTCGATAGTGAGACGTCTATGCAGCACTCATACCGTTACCCCCCCTACACAACATTTAACTGAAAGGTCTTTTTTTTTTTTACCTGGCCCCACAAAAGTCGGGGGTGGACCAACAAAAGTAGCAGCTCGAGCTTCTAGCGTCTGCTGAACCTGAGAGAGAGAGAAGAAGAAGAAACCAGGTGTGAGACGGAAAGAGGACATGGATATATGACGAGCAGATACTAGAGAATAAACAGACCTGTCTGTAGGTGTTCGTGCCTATGATGGGTCGAATCATAGGAACCGCAGTAACAGAAATAGCAACAGGTAGACCCTCCATGACAGATGGACCTCCTGCTACTGGTACTGGACCACCGAGGACCTCCTGCTCGAAACTGAAACCAGAGGACAGAGACGGAGTGAGAGGGCTGTTTTAAGAAAGCTGAAGAGAACACATTTTAAAATGTTTAAGACTATAAAGGCAAAGTAGAAGTTATAACAACAGCTCTTTCATGAATACCTACTAACTTAATGATGATGGTCTCCATATTATTGATGATGATGATGGTAATGACGATGGTTTTTGTTTGATAACGACGACTTATAAGATGGTTTCTATACTGATTAGAGCTCTCAAGAACTGCCCTCAATGTTGTGCTTTGCCTCTGGTCACTTCCTGTCAGCACCTGTGTGTCCAATCAGACTCAAAGCTGATCGTTTGCTCTTACTCACATTGTTCCCTTTTTTCTAGATCCTTGCTTGTGTTGTTCTTACTCTCTGATGTACGTCGCTTTGGATAAAAGCGTCTAAGTTAAGTGAATAAGTGAATTGTAAAACAGCTTAAATCCTTGACGGAAAATGAAGTAAACGTGAGGCATGAAGTTCCCACAGACCTGCGTGTGTCAGAATAAGATTTACCTGTCAGCTTTTACAAATGACTCTTAAATCATCTCAGTTTCAGTGTGTGATTGTTTGCTCTAAATATTGTTTTTTTTTGGTTTATTTTTATCATTTTAAGTGTTGGAATTGTGTGTTTTGGTATCCGGAAATTAAGATTTAAGATTAAGAGATTAAGATTTTACTTTTATTACACACATAGGCTGAAGTATATACACACATGCACACAAACAGGATCCTATGGACATGCATGAAGGGAGAGATGTCAGAGTGACTGAGCGGCCCACAGTGGGTGTTCCTGAGCTGGTGGTGGGGAGGGGGTTTGGTGCCTTGCTCAAGGGCACCTCGGCAGAGCTCAGGAGGTGATCTGGCACCTCTCCAGCTACCAGACCAACTTCCGGACTTGGTACGTCCCGGGACCCTCTGATTCCCAACCCAAGTCCCTACAGACTGAACTACTGCCGCCCCATCATCTCAATTTCAGTGTGTGTGTTTCCTCTGAATATTGTTTTTGTTTGGATCATTTTAAGTGTTGGAATTGTGCGTTTTGGTGTCCGTAAATCTTCGTAAATGAAGGAAACCTCCATCATTTTGAAGGCTTATATAAAGTTTGTTGAT